AATAATAATAATAATAATAATAATAATAATAATAATAATAATAATAATAAAAGGCCCCAAAGTAGAGGAAACTCAAGTTTAGGCAGAGTGTGGAACACTGGTCCAGATAGTGCTTTTGAAATCATACTGAGTTTTATGACCTCAGCATAAACTAGGGGCATAGAAGACGGAAATAACTACACAGACAGAGAATAGAACACAGGACAACAAAAGATAAATGTCACTTGATTTACCTTCATCTGTGTGAAACAGGAAGGCTGACTTCTCTGGGTTTCTCCCTGTTCCCCACGCCCCACAGAATGACTAATGTTAAAGGCCACAGGGCTGCAGAGCCGCCGAAACCCCAAGCACCAACCCTACCCTCCTGTCACCCAAAGGATGGCGGGGGAAGACAGCAGAAAACCACCTGACATACTGTCCAAACAGAACAGTTCTCACCCTCTGCTAACAGATTGTTCTTGTTTGGAATTCAAGAATGTCTCTTTCAAAAACTCCCTTCAGGTTTAAAAATAATAATAAATAAAAATCTCAACTGACAGGGGCCGGGGTGGGGTAACTGTTCATATGTGCTTTCTGAAGGCTGAGGAGGCACACACAAAAACACCTGACTGTTACAACCCAGTCCCTCCACTTTACATTAGCTTAGCAAGTCACCTCGCTCCTAACAGGGCAGGATCAAGTCTTTAAGAATCTCTATAGGAATAATCCCATGTTAGATCACACTACTACACGACTATGAACATTTATTTTATTATTTATTTGGTTTTATCAAGCAGGGTTTCATGTGGCCTGAGCTGGCCTCAAACATGTCATGCAGTCGAGGGTGGCTTTAATCTCCTGAACTTTAACCCTCTCCCTCCCAGGTGCTGGGATTCCAGGTGTTTGCCGACACACTCCTGCTTTCAGTACTTTACTTTAAAAGCCTATGTCATTGGACTGGGGATGTGACTCAGTGGCAGAGCGCCTGCCTAACGTGTAAAGGATGAGTTCTTCCCAGCACTCTGAAGAAAAAGGGCATAATTATTTCATGAGGTGACCCAGGTCACCAGCATTTCCCAGAATGCTGAGAGGAAGGGAGGAGGGATTTATGGGAGCAGATGGAATTCAGCACTTGGTCATTGTGTGTCCTGAGGCACAGCAATCAGATCTCTCATGTGACAGCAAGGTGACTGCAGGTGACAGATCCGTGACTCCGAAGAAGCCAGGCATCGCGGGACAGCACGTGAGCGCTATGGGGCACGTGATTGCTTGTGGGCCAAAGGTTCTCACCTAGACCTCGGCTAGCTGCTGAATGAACTATCATCATTATACCTGGCCAGAATTTAGAAAAGCAAGCAGTAACAGAGCATGGGAAGAAAACAAACATGTTTCTGTAATAAAGACAATAGTTTTGTTCTGCTTTTTAATCGGCCTAGACCTTCTGTTCTTGGTAAAGGCTTAGTGATAAGATGTGGGAAGTTGAACTCATCACATTTTCACCTGCTTTGCACTCCATCTTTTTGTTCAGTAGCGTATTATTTGGGGGGAGGGCCCAACTTGAGGAACACAAAGATTTCTGCATGCTCTAATTCATGAATCCAGGCCACATGTCATGTATGGTATATGTGACTTCAGATCCACTTTCAAGATCTTACAATGTCACCAATATTTTATTAAAATGTTTTTTATACTGTGTGGTCAAGCATTGGTTTTCTATTACTTTATGATTTAGTAGGAGAAAGTGGAGCTGGGGCTAGAGGTCCCAAGTCTTATAAAAATCAGCCATCCTTGGATTAAGTGCTTTTGATTTCTCCACATCTAAAGTTGAGCGTACTACGATCTGCATTTTAATTCGGTTTCGGCTGGCAGCAGCTCTGAAAAGACCTGCACTCTGAAGTGAACTGAACAAAGCAGCAGCGTCCTTTTCTCTGCAGTCACCACAAGTCCTCCGTGTGTCAAGAGCATCTTTACACTTGTGGTTTTAGCGCTGATACCACCCAGTGGGAGCCAGGGGAGAGCATCACTCAGGCTCACGGAGGGCTCTGTGGGGCAGCAGTGATAAAGGGACAGGGTGGCTTATGTGACACTGCATTTGGTTGGGGAGTCCTGTGACTCCATCTTTATGCCTGAGAACCAGTTCTTGTACAAGGGAAGAGCACATCTAGCTTCATCTTTAGAGCTAAAAGCAACGGGGCATGAAACTTGCTTTCAATAAGCAAATGTCAATCTTCATCCGATGGGTCCCGGCATATGAGGAAGCTGTGAAAGCCAGCAGACTATTGCAAGCAGTAGCCCTTCTGACTTAACTCCCTGAGGAGGTGCTGGCTTTGGGGCTAAGGTTGTCACAGTCTATCATTACTTTAAAAAAAAAAATCCACATCTTTTTTTTTACCCCTTACAAAGGGAGAGGAAGCAAGCATACGGACTCCTATTTTCTGTGTCTGAGTACGAAAGCTCTAGAAGGCTGGGGGCATAGGAGAGGCACTTCGTTGTCAAGATGGAGTGTGGGCCAGTTTACAGAAATGGGGGTGAGTTTTTAAAATATTCTATTATCTTCTATACTAGTGTAAATATACTACCTATTCAAAAATCAAGTCTACTAAAATAATAAAATTAAATAGAGTTAGGAACAAAGGAAAAACCGTATAGACAAGACTCTGGGGTTGGGAGGAGTATAAATCCATCAAAATAAGTTGGGTCAGGCATATGATTTGAATACATGTATTAACTGTTAAGAGTTGTTGTGACTGGCTGGCAGATACTTAGGGCTCGCTGTACTATCCTTATATCATTTTAGTAAGATTAAAATATTTCAGTACTCCAAAATAATTTATAAAGGATATTTTTTATTCCATTAAAATGTTTTATTCTTAAACCAGAGTGGGGGGGGGGCTATGAATGGCCACCCACACTGTTTGTTCATTCATTTCATTACTTGGTACGGTTTCTGGTTTACCAATCTGCACCATTTTGATGGACTATTGCATAGCATGATGCCTCCAGTAAGACATTAACAAGGCAAGGAGCCTTCCACCTGTGAGTCTATATTTCAAGTCCTGGGAAGTTCTTGGAAAACTTGTAGTGATTTTGTATCTTTGAGAGATTCTTTTTTTCTCTCTAATACTCTGTGGATTCTGTCCATACCTTGATGGTGAATTTTGACTGGACTGACGGCCATGTAGGAGATAATTAAGGACACCTCTAGGAGTATCTGTGTTTCAGAGAAAACTAGACCATGTGGGCTTTGCCCTAATCAAGCTGACCCACTGACTGACTCAAATTTTAAGTAACTAATTGGGAGGTGGTGGAACCGTGGAAGTCCTGAGATGAAGGAAGTGGCTAGCTCGGGGTGTGTCTCCGTGCTGATTCCTTCCTGTTGCTCCACTTTCGGGCTGAGCGGCTTTTCCACCATGCTCTTCCTCCACAATGTTTCTGCCTTGCCACAGAGTTGAAAAGCCAGCAGACCATGGACTGGAACCATGAGCCAAGATAAACCACCCTTCCTTCCTTTAAATGTTTGTCCCAAGCATCTTTCACAATAGCACACCGTCTAACAGGCCAAGTTCAGACTGAGCTGAATCAGACCATACTTAACCGAGGTCCGCAGGGTGGCTTGGGTCAGTATCTGTGCTGTAAAGAACCTGTATGATCAGGACAGAATGCCAATCTCCAGGCCAAGGGATTTTCTGATGTTTGGCTCAGAGTCTCAGGGGCATTTTCACTCTTAGTAAACCATTTAAAGGAAACCTTTGCTTGAATGAAAAGCAAAGGCTAGGATTGGTTACGGAGAAACCACTCAGTCTCCTTAGATGACCCAGCACCAAGAGTCTCATCTAAATTCAGGGTCCTGAATTCTCTTTTAGGTGGCTATTTAGAAGCCATCACAAGATTGCTAAGTCTAATGAACTTGGTTTACTAAGGTTCAATAAACATACAGCACTGTATACCATCTAGAGAATGCTCCCAATCCTCCTTTCTCAACAAGCCATCGTTCCAAGAGTATCCCTGCATCAGAAGCCACAAAATAACCTTTTCATACCTGAATTCCATTCCTGACAGTTACCTGGCGAGGTTACTATGCTTGGTCCCATTTTACAGGCAAGAACAACTGAGGCTTACAGAGTTTGTATATGAAGCAAATTAGTTAAGGTCCTTGATGGGAGGAACAAAATTCAAAATTTTCACATATCTCATTTGGAAAGTTAGTTTTTCTATTACAGCATAGAACCTTTGTCATAATTTTCAGCTTTAAAAACATTATCTAATTAAATAATAATAACATGCATATTATATCTTGCTTGAGCATAGGTAAGGTAATTTATAATGGCTGTCACCTAAATTTTTTGTTTATAACTGGAAAGCAATTAAAGAGATAGCTATTGAATGTTCTTGCACCAATAAAAGAGAACTTAATTTAATCAAATTATAAACTTCGACGAATGTGTAAATCTTACCTTCTCCGGGTTTCATGTCTAATAGTTCATCTATTGGTCCTTAAGAGAAGAGAAAGAAAATAAACCATCAGTTAATTCCATTTCACTCAGAGTTTGAGTAAATCATGAAAACTGGGAAGTCTGTCTTTAGATTACCTGCGCATGCATCTTGCACAGAGCTTTTGTCTACAGGAGACAGAGGACTTTTCTCTTCAGCTGAAACACAACGTATGCAGTTGGTTATGAGCAGCCCACAGTGGTACATTTTATAAGCTATGTGTGAGGTAAATACACTGTTAGAAAACATGAAAAATTTCAACTAGCTCATGTAAGGCAGTGTTTCTCAATTTCCCTTTACATCAGATATTGGTTCTCAATGAATTTAAATTTGGAGTCTCTGTTGATTTCCAAATTTAAATCTGGAATTTCTATTTTATTTAATTCATTTAACTAAATCTAAGTTCGACATTTCTAAAGAATCTCTGTTTTGTTTGATAGATAACCCACATGATACTCTATTATATTGTTGTATTTCCACCCATGGGAAATGAATGACAAGTCATCGGTTATCACTTGGTATTACTAACAAATATTAACCACATAGGCCTGGCTCAAATGAAAAAGGGAATATCGAATTCTCAATATAGAATCTTTATTTTTTAAAGGCTGAAAACCCTGTATTCTCTAATTCTGAGAAAAGCTGCAGAGACACTAGAAAGACCAGTAGACGCTAAGGGCACGCTTGGTGGGTAAGGCGGCGGATCGGTGGTGACAGAAAGCTGGGGGCAGGTAATACTTTGTATGACACTTTAGTGGAAGAAACAGGTCATTTCACACTTAAAGTACCCATCAAATATAGAACACTAGAAGGGAAGATTATATCAAGTGGACTTTGGGTGTAAGGGGGCTTCTATTTAGGCTCATTGATTATTATAAACACCACGCTGGGCTCGGATTCTGGTAGCGGGAAGTAGCAGCGGCAGGGACTAAGGGACGTGGGGAAACTGTCCCCTGAACTAGCTGAGGCTCACAATAAGCAATCAAGTGTGGCTGTACATGTGTGAGTAGGCACATTAGTCTCAACTCAGTTTGCTCCTGTTCACTAGACCTTCAACAGGTCCCAGAATAAGACAGACGCCACTTAATGATAACGGATCCCAATCTCAAAAGTGTATGCAAATATCATACCAATTAAATTATATAAAAAGGAACATTTGCATTTTCATATACTGTACAAATCTATATAAATTGTATAGATTTGAAACTTTTCTATGAATATAATAAACTGGAGTTGACATTTTCCCAAAGAACTAAGTATGTTCTACTCTATAACCTTAAGTGCCATACAACGGTTCACAGAGGGGCACTGAGGTTGGAGGCCTGGATCAACACAGACAGTTTGTCCAGGGCTACAAAATCAGGCCTAGCCCTTACTTTTCTCAGACTCTAGAATTTTGCTTTTCTTACATTTCCTGGTTCTTCTGGCTCATTCCTTTGCTCAGACATATCTTTTCTTTTGACAAGTCTTACAATAGCAAATGGCTTTAACCATTTGGAAAAGAGGGAAGAGCCAGGGTGAGGAGGAACGGAGCAGAAGAGCAGTTCTAGGACTTGATTCGCACATCTCCTTTCCTGGGCAGGCTTCCTTAGTCTGGCTCAAGCAGGGAAGAGGAGACTGTGTCCCCAGGAGGGTCTGACTGAACAGAAGGCTAGATGGTTTCTTTTACTAGGTTCAGTGCTGATACATACTGCTTTTACTACAATTTTCCTCAGTCTGTACCTTTATGATAAGGAGTCAACAGAAAATCTGGCAGCCATGCAGGAGCCAGTGACAGCAGAAGGCCACCTCCCGCTGTGCAGAGCCTCCTCCTAAGGGAGGCTTCAGTTCACCTTGATGGAGCTGGTGCCACTCCTTAATGTGGCCTGAGGATTCACTTGGGAGGGCAAAGTCTGAGCAATCTGTCTTCAACAATGAGTAACGCCCACCCAGAAATCACCACTGATCGATCACACCCTGGATGTGATATTAAGATTGCACTAAGACCTGGAGCTAGGGCTACCTGTTGGGCTGAAACCTCTAGCTCACTCCTGCTTGATCCAGAAAACCCCACTCCCCTCTCTCTCTCCAAACCCCACCCTCTCAGAGAAACTCCAGGAAAGAAAAGGTGCCAAAAAGCCCAGTTCCCCATTCTTGGCGGCCAGGGCAGCTCCTCTCCTGAAGTTGCCAGCAGCCCAATCCCCGCCAAAAGTGCTCAGTTTTTGACCATACCCAGCTTATGGCAAATAGGTCATCACCCCTCACCTACAGGCTATATCAACTCCTTGCAGAACTTCTCCTGCCTCTATCTCTGGGACCGGAGAACTCACTGGGGAGTTGCTTTGCTTAAAGAAACCTGTTCTTTGATTTTTTCAATTCAGCTTGAGCTGGCTTGCCATAAGAGAAACCTATTATCACGATACAGAAATTAGTACTCAGAGCAGCCCAGAAATTCTATCTCCTGGAAAGGGGCGGCTATCTGCCATGTCCCACCACATGGAGGATGCCGAAGTTTCTGGTTCAAACCACACACTGTCTCTTGGTACTACTAAAGGGTTGGCAGCACTAATATCGGAGACTACAGGAAGCAGATTAATATAGCCTTTACTTCAGATGGAAAAAAAAACCAACCGAGATGTAATTTACCAGAAAGAGAAACAAGTTGGCTGTTGTGCATTACAGCAGGATCTCTGCAGCAATGGAAACGGAAATTAAGACTCACCCTTACAAGGAGAGGATTCTTCGTGCTGGCTCTCATCTTCCAGAGAAATTAACCTTAAAATAAAAGGAAGGCCAAGTTACACAGTTCTGCAAATTTATGTTTATGGTATAGCTATATTCTTCAGTGCAGTATCTATTTTTTCATTTACCACAACCCCTGCCCTCCTCAACACACACACACACACACACACACACACACACACACACACACAGAGAGAGAGAGAGAGAGAGAGAGAGAGAGAGAGAGAGAGAAACAGGGGTAGAGAAAGAGAGACGGAGACACAGAAAGAGAGTCATTTGTACGGCATCTATTTTCTGCGGAAGAGACAGCACTGCT